CCCCAAAACCCCAAAACCCCAAAACCCCATGAGTCTTATGATTTTTCAAGAGTTAAAAGTCTTAATTAAGATTAATAAATAGTTGATTATTAGATATTGGGCATATCAACCTCTTTCAATTAGTTAGTGCAACTCTTTGTTATTAGTATACTTCGCTAAGATCGAATACTAAGCACTGATTATCATCACCTCCAGTTACTACAAGTTCCAAGTTTTTGACTTCTACAAAATCATTAATAGGTGCTGCGTGTCCTTTAAAGTTTCTTAGTGTCTGTCCATCACGAACATCGATTACTAAGAACTCTCCAAGAGTAGAAGATGCTAGTAGAACATGAGGAATAACTTAAGAGAATTAGAGCTTAGTAAATCCACCATACTCACCAGTTGGATTAATCTTAAACCTGATATCATTGGTCGCAAGATCATATATATTAATTGTTGAGTCAATGCCAGCAGAGACGCAGACTGGTAGTGTTTTACAGAATACTATACTTTCAACAGAATCAACATGAGTACCCAAAAGAGTTCCAACTTCTCCAGTAAGCAAATGAGAGTAGAATACCTTGCCCGAGATATCTCCACTTACAATCAAGGGTCTTTCGTGATGCAATTAGAAGCAATTTATATCTGCCTCATGGAATTTACCTGAAATACCACTAGTGCTAGTGTTTTTAATTATCCTTAGACATTCATTCTTAAGTGGAGCCCAGACTCTAATGGTTTTATCAGCACTTGAACTGACAACATGCTTGCCTCCATCACTTGTAGTGAATTTGGCTTGGAAAACTTCAGCTTCATGACCTGCTAGGCAACTAATGAATGTACCATTTCCACCATTGTAAAGCCAGATTAGGTAATCCTTTCCTCCAGTAATGAATACATTACCCTTAGGATGCCATTCTAAGAAATTAAGGTCTTCAGTTGGTCCATCAGTAATCACATATTTAAGGTCAAATGCGTCTTATTCTGCATTCCAAATACGTAATTGATTATTCATTCCTCCAGTTACTAAGAATTTACCATCATGATTGAATTTGGCTATTTCTATAGTCTCAGTATGACCTTCTAGTTCCTTAACAACAACTGTCTTAATCTAAAAAGTGTGGCTGCTAGCATCTGTTGTTGGTTCTTTTGAGTCCTCTGTTTTGCTTTCCTCCTAATCTGTTGAATTGTTCTCTGCTGGGGATTCTGGAGCTTCTTTGACTATCTTCCAAACATAAGCTTTATCATTACAATCACCACTAATAAACATATTGAATGGCTCATGAGGCACTAGTTGGACGCAGAAAACAGAGTCTTTATGGGCATTAAATTAAATTATTGAGTCATCTTGAATAATTTCCTAAGCCAATATTTGACCATCATCATATTGATTAGGATCTCCAATCTCAGACTCATTGATTGTTTAGAAATCATTATCCTCGTTATCAACTAGTTCAATCTCATCCTCATCAAGATAAATAACGTCTTGTTCATCTTCATCCTTCTCACTTGGAGCTGATTTATGATCTTCGAAGTCCTCTTCATTAGGGTTTTGATTGTTATCACTCATTGCTTAGGTATGTATATATGTATAAAATAACTTAATATTACTTTTCTCATTTGCATCTATATATTTGATAAGTATACAATGGGGTTTTGGGGTTTTGGGG